CAGGGTGCCGGGCGCGCGGTGCCCTCGCGGCGAGAGGGCCACTGCGCCGGCGGCCCAAGGGTGGCCTCGGAGAGCCTCCCTGCGGCCCGAAGGGCACCGGCCGCGCTCTCAGGGTGGGCGCGAAGGAGGAGGACGCTGGAGCTTCCCGCGCCTCCTGCCTGCTCCCCCCGCGGAGATGGAAGTCGGGGCTCCTGGAGCCCGGGCGCCTCGAGCTCGGCCCGGCAGTGCGGTCTGCTGGCGCGTGTCTGCGGGAACTGCCTCTGCCCAGACGCAAAGAAAGCAATGCCCGGGGCGTGCCGAGGCGGCGGGGTTGGTAGGAGGCTTCCGCTGGAGCCCCCGGAGGCTACGCGCCCGCCTGGGCCCGAGAGCCCGCCCGGAGGAGAGCCGCGGGGAGGAGTGCCAGCCGAGTGCCGCGGCGACCTCGTTATACCCAGATACCGACACACCTCCTGTCCCCTAAGGCCTGCCCGGGTGGGACTGCGGGTGAGCCTGGGCTAGTGGCCCCAGGCCTCCGAAGGAGACAAGAATAGAGAATGCTTTAGTTCATCTGGGTGAGAGGAGAGGGCAGAGGTCAAGTAAGCGGGCAACTTTTGAGGGCATCCATTCAGTCAGGAGCAGAATAGGCCGATCTACTGAAATCCACGGCTGAGGGGAGCAGCCGGAGACAGGAGAGGTCTGCTGCGGCCTTGTGGGTCACTCCCTGGCCGGGGATCAATAGCTTGATAGTGCTGAGATTTAATCCCTTGCACCACCAGGTAGGCCTCAAAAAGCTGTTTTTTAAAGATAAAAGTATGGGTTCAAAACAAAGGATAGATAAACGCTTGCTTGGGCAGTTAATTACCTGAAAGAATGCATAAGAAATTGGGTCTCCCTGGCTCCATCTCCGGCCAGGGAATGATCCACAGGGCACAGCAGAGCTCTCCTGTCTCCCCAACTGCTCCCCTCAGTTCTGCTCCCCACTCTGTCTGGGGGAATCCACTCTCCACAGCTCTGGCTACCCCCCAGCTCTTGTATGTATAAATAAATAAATCTTTAAAAAAACGGAATACATGAGAAATCAGTAACAGTGGTAGTTTACCTAACTCACCAACTGTTAAAATGAGTAAGGCAAATATGAAAGCAAAACTTACAAGTCACTGTTTGGGGGAGGCGCTAGTCACATATGACATCAGTCAAGTCCGAACTACACTTGTTGGAATGGAGGCCTGCATTGGTTAGCTTGATCGCAGGTGAGATGGCACTCCAGTATTTCCTGACCCACAAATGAAAATCTTCCCTGTACATTACTTTTTGTTCTGTTACCTAATAGTTACTGATTTGAGCCGAAAGGGACCTTAGACATCATTACTTCATGATTCATTCAACAGATACTTATTTCTACTATGTGCTACCCATGCACTGAACTTAAAGATAGTCGAATGCACCAAGAGGGCCTCTGCCATCCTGGACAAGTGCTGGGGAGCAAACTGGGTGCCGAGCTGGAGAGAGACCTACTTACAGAAAGGCCTCAGGAGTAGTGATTTTTAAGCTGGGGATTTAAGGATGAGGGTAAAGTTGTCATCGGGAGGGTATGGGGTCCGGGCAGAAAGGGGGCTCAACCTGACATCGCCCTGAGACGGGAAAGAGCCTGGCCTGATTCTAGGATTGAAAGAAAGCCCTGGTGGAGTTCTCTAGGTAAAGGTGAAAGTGATAGAACTGGAGGTGGGTGCTGGCTGTGCAATCCTGGAAGATCTCAGCCAAAAATGGGAACTTGACCAATTTGGCATTACTGATTGCTGTGGGATTTCTGTACCTCGCCCAGAAACCTAAATCTCTCTCCTGTTCACATACCGCTTTTATGCCTTTTGCAGAACTAATGAAGAACGTATTTTCCAGTTCTTTGAGTAGTTGTATATATTGATTTCTCATTCTCAAGTGTATTTGAACCTTTAAAAAAATCAATGTTTCCTGAATTTTGCAGTGAATTCTAGAAGCATATTAATAGTTGGCATTTTTTGAGAGCTCACTGTGTTCGGCCTTTTCGTCCTGACACTTCACCACAGTTTCGTGAGGTAGGATGGGCTGTTGCCTCTACATTTTAGTTGGAAAACCTGAGGCGCGTGGCCCCGGGTCTCATAGCCAGCAAGTGGCACGTCTGTGTACCCCCTTATCAATGACATGAAATAGTCCAAGTTTATAAAGGCATTTTTGGTCACTGAAGTTTGGATGAGAAGAAAGTCTGAGTTCACAGTCCTTGTGCCATTCATAATCTGCAGATGCGTCAGCACGCCTCTTGGCCTTCGCTTGCCCAGGCTCATTTGGTGAGCCCCTTTAACTCATCAGCAACAGCAGTTCTCATAGTAAGACCCCATTTCGCTCTCTAGTGGTCCTGCTTGTACAAGACAAGAGTGGCTGTAACCCCCTCCTCCCCAGAAACCAGCAGGCGCCTCAGCCTTTTACCTCCACAGTCTGTCTCCTAGGGCTGCTTTCCAGGAAGGTGTTCCTGTCTCATTGTCCTTCAGGGCCCCAAACTACCCTGGCAGCATAGTGGAGCCTCAGATAATTAGCTCTCATAGCTGTTCTTCAGTTCCTCTTGATGGCCTTGACCTCTTTCTATACTAGAAAAACAGCGTAGCTACACACACAGTATTAGATAGCAGCATAAAAGACATGATGATGAGCTGCCGAATGAGTGAGTGGTGAAGCAGTTCCTTTAGGCCTTGAAGAGGGGGAGGCCATGTGGTGGTTATGTCAGAAAGACATCAGCAGAGTCCTGAGCTCCAGGGCAAAGGTTCTGTGCCATTCCTCAGTGTGTCCCCGTGACCCGCCAAAGCAGGTACTCGGCAAACATTGATTCAAGGAATGATTGAAACTCGAACTGAAGCTTGAAGATTAAGTAGAGCTGATTTGAATCTGAGGGTTTTTTTAATGTTTTAATGGCCTCTATTGTGCTTTGTTTTAGATTTGTATTGTTCATTGTGTGAACTGCTTTATATCTCTCTGATGGATTTAGTAAGCATGCCATTTCTTATGGCAAAATGAAAATTAACGGCACTTACAGGCTCTGCGATCCTGCTCTCGCTCACCTCGCGTCTGCACATGGGGAAGTCAACGCACGACTTTCAGCAGGTGCCGCGAGGGTAGGCCCCAGGGAAGTGACCCCAGTGGCTGTCTCCCCTAGTTACCCCGGTGGAGAAGGGCTGCAGTTCACACATCGGGACTGAGCCAAGACCGTGTCCTCTGCCAGGGACTCTTGCTCTCCGCATCTCTCAGCCTGGCTACCTTCAGCTCCTCCCTGAGGTCTCAGTTCAATCATTGCTTCCTCCTGAAGATGTTCACCTGCCCCCCAAATCAGACGTGTGTCCTAGCACGTGCTGATCATATCCTGGACTCTGCTTTAATAGCACTCACCATTTTATTTTAGAATCGTTTTCTCCTCGTTCACACCCCTGTAGGGCAAGAACTCTTGTTCTCTCTCCAGAGCCCCCTGCACAGAGCCTGACAGTCAGCCACATGAGCTGGGTGAGTGGCGCCGCGCTGCAGGCCTCCCTCAGAGCATTGCTGTGGGCCTGACTAATCAAAACAAGCTGACTAAGGGCGCTTCTGTACTGAGGAGAGAAATCGCAAGTCGGTTATTTTTATGCTTGGAAAGAATCCTGTCCTGGCTCCAGAGACTCCTAGTACTAGATTATTAAGCAATTTTAAACCTACTTTAAGGACTAAAATATGCTCTCGGTTTTTCTTGTGTTTTGGTTTCGTGTAACTTTTCTCTACCTAAAGGAAGAGGAAGCCCCCATGCTAATGGCATATTTTTATAACATTGACACCAGACCACGTGCCTTATACCAATGTTGCCTTTTACCTTGCATACCTAGGTTCAAGATTTATCTATTGAACCCAGAGAAATCTGATTTTTTAAATTAACATTAACCCTTTCACATCACCTGACAGGTGACAAACCAACCAACACTTTGTCCCCGGGGAGGCGGGTGGGAGCAGGAGCTACATTTGATTGATACCATTTGCGTTGATGATGCCACACAGAGACCCTGCCCTGGACCCTCACCCACCGCCGCCCACTTTGTGCTTATAATAGACGTGTGGCACCAACCGTATACCAGGTGCTGCTCGTGGTCAGTCCTGCAGCCAGCATACCTGTCTCGGCTGTGCAAGCTCCACGCACTGTAACTGATGAGGCTATGGGTGGAATTTCTCCTTGGGTTTTCGTTGTTTGAGTGCCCTTACAGTCAAGCGAAGGCTGCCTGATGTGGGCCTCACTCCACATTCTGTGTGATTTGGGAGAGCAGGGCTCACCCATGTCTTCCATTTGTTTTCCCGCACATACCTCACTGGCCTCAAAATCAATGCAGTGTGTGTCCCAGCAGGCTTGAAGATAGGCAGCCGTCTCACCCACCTTCTGGGCACGCTGTGGAACAACTCGTGGGGAATAATCTCCAGTCTGTTGTATGCTAATTCCCACTGAGCCTGATGCATGTGCAAACGGCCTGTGCCCAGATGCAGTTGCGTCCTGCTGCCTGCCCGCCGCACTAATGTAGCCCAAACACTGAAAACTCCATTCAGCCCCACCTTCCCGCGCCTGTCGCCTGGTGTGGGCAGCCTGGCCCTGGTGCTCTTTCTCAAGTGCAAGCTGCCAAGCAGCTACCCTTGTGTTTTCTACCTGAGCCGCTGCAGCAGGTGCCTCGTTAGACCGTGCCTTCTCTGTATGCTGAACAAGCTGTGCATGGCTAGGCTCAATTTGTAAAACACAGCCTATGTGTACTCTAACCACTTAAAGATGCAGGAGTAAGGATAGACTGAAGCACAGGGGTGCAAATCCTGGCTCCCAAGGATTTTTGGCAGATGGACAAGTAAATGAAAAAATGGTTAAATAAAAGGATCTTTTCTGTAGTCCCTGTCACATACTGTGGATCGGTAAACTCTATACAGAGAATATCAGGAATTTGTATCTGCAACTTTTAATTTTAGAAATTTTTTTTAATAGAATAAGAAACCAGGGTCTCCCTGGTGACGCAAGAGGTTAAGTCTCAGCACTATGAGGCTGTCTGCATCCACTGCAGCACAGAGTTTGATCCCTGGCCCAGGAGCTGTGACCCTCTCTTGTCTCCCCACTGCTCCCCTCAGCAGTGTACTTCAGTCAAACTGCCTGTTCTGCTCCCTACATTGTCGCTGATAAATCCCCTCCCCCACACCTCTGGCATGTACCCCAGTTCTTGTATGCATAAAAAAGTAATTTTTTTTTTTAAGATTTATTTATTCATACAGAACTGGGGTACAGGCCAGCGATGCGGAGGGTGAGAGGATTCACCAGAGACAGAGCGGGGAGAACAGGCAGATCGACGAAGTCCACTGCTGAGGGGAGCAGCGGGCGGGTCAGGAGAGGTCTGCTGCGCCATGTGGTCACCTCCGGGGCAGGCGGGGATCAAACTCATGGGGAAGTGGCTTTAGCTTCTCGGTGCTGTGCTTTAACCCGCTGCGCCACCAGGGAGGGCCACAAGTAATTTTTTTTAAAGCATAATTGAATTGACCCCGAAGTGGGGAGAAGAACAAATTTTTGGGGTCCATCTATACCAGTTTGTATTTGGCATTCTGATGAGCAGCTCTGGTAGTTTTCCACCTCACCACGACCCACCTGTGTCACAGCCTACAGAGCTTCCTGGAGGAGGGGTCCAGCCCTAAAAGGCCCCCAGGGCTTGGTATTGGGCTTACCTGGCTTTGGGTGATGTTCTGAATTAACTCGGGCTGGGAAGCTATTTAGTCTAGTCCCAAGTTGCTAAAGCTCTTCTTTTCTCCACAGGGAAACAACTGGAAGGCATCTGGTAAGTTGGGTGGGTTCAAGTCTGGCTTCCAGCTTGACGCGTAGCTGTCATAAATCATTGACTTCTTCAGCAGCTGTCCCCCTCCAGAGATGGTGGGGCAGTGTCTGGAGACACTTTTGGTGGGAGGTGGAGGCCGGGAGGCGCCTGTAAGCTTCCAGTATGCACAGGACAGCTTCCCCAACGAAGCGTCATCCGGCCAGGACCATCAGGGGTGCCCTGCCCCAGAGGAGGCAAAATGATCTGTGCCCACCAGCCAAGACTTCTCACTACACTTCTGCCTTAAAACACAGCCCTTGTGACCTCCCAGTGCGGGGCCCGGGGGGAGGAGGGGGCCGGAGGGATCATGTCCTTGAGCAGGAAGTACCCGCAGTCGGCCTTGCCTTTCTCAGACCAGTCTCCTGTCGGCTTACTCTGTCCGCTTTGCGTTGCAGGCACACCTCCATAGTCGTGCACAAGGATGAGTTCTTCTTTGGCAGCGGCGGTATCTCCAGCTGCCCCCCGGTGAGTGTCTTCCCCGCACCCTGTCCCGCACTCTGGGTTCCCGGGGTTCCTGTTGAGGTTGTGCCGACTGTGTCCTGGCTCCTGGCCCCATGTCTGTAGGCCTCTGGCTGGTTCCTCATGACCATCTGCAGTCTTCAGAACTGACTCAAGGAAGCCCTTTGCGCACACTGCTCCCGTAGCCGCGGGGCTCCCACTGGGTTACACATCATTGTGAGCTGAGTCCATGTCCACCCCCCCGTCCCTGTGACCAGCTCAGGGCCGGCTCACACTAGGAACACAGCCCCTGCTAAGCTCAACGATGAGGCCAGGCCGCGAAGGGCATTGCCCACTGACACGTCCGCAGTGACCCCAGCACAAAAACTCGGTTCTCTCGGACTGCAAAGCCTGTGCCCACTTCTAAAACAATTCTGAGTGTCTGAGGTTATCCCAGCAGGTGTTCAGCCAAGCAGCCATTCGTTCTTAGTCTGTCTCCATCTCCTCCCCTTTCTCCTTAATCCGGACCGCCCGTGTCCAAGTAACACGTCTGCTCCTCTCAGCCAGAGCTCTCCCCACTGCTCTCAGAGTTCAGCCCAGAAGGCGCCTGGCCTCCCAGGTCTTCTCTGATCGGCCTCTTTTCAGGGTGGGCCCATGCTCTCCCTGCTCTCTGACTCCTCGAACACATTTGGGCATTCAGACCCTGGATTTTCACCGGTTATACCCCTACAGACTTCAGATTTCCAGGCAAATCTTCCTAGCACGGGAAGGCCCCTGCGTTTTCCAGTAGCGTTTACAGTTGTCCCATTGACTGGAGTACAGACCGGTCAGCCTGCCTTCCCGAGGGCAAGCCTCGTCGCTGCTTGTCTGCAGGGTGGGCCCTCAGAGCGGGCGTGAAGCCCAGCATACGCATGTTCTCAGTACACGTCGGCTCTACGAGTGAAAGGCAGGTAGTCACACAGGGCCCTTTTAAGTCTTGCGATTCTGGGGTCGCCTCTGACGTCACACTTAGCCCACTCGCCATCCTTCCCAGTGCCTCAGGCACGCAGTGGGCACTCTGTGGCTACCGCGGGGATTGATTGCGGGGAGTCCTTCTCCCTTGCTTTCCAGTCCATCCCCAGACCTGCCCTCCTCACTGAGCCTGCTGCTGCTCCCTCGGCTGATTTTCCTCCGGGGCGTCTCTGCTCTGGTCAGATAAGTCAATTTCTTGACCATGGCCGAGGGCTTGTCAGCTGCTCGGGCCTTCGACTCCCTCTCCTGGGGCCCTGCTGCCCCCGTTGCATTAGGCTCACCAGTCAAGGACAGAACTTACTTACCCGCCCCGCTTCCCACTCCTCAGGCCACACGTTCCCATTGTCTCATTGCTCTTGAGAAACTGGCTGCAGACATTGTGGAACAGGCCATCTCTCGTGCTCTGCCCTCCTGGCCGGGCACCAGGGAGATGGCAGGCTCTACCTTTTCATCAGCTAATGGACAGTGTCGGGAGACGTCGCTTCCAGCGCCCCAGCAGCAGCAAGAACTCCACTCCTTAGCCACGTTGCTTGGGTGTTGCAGTGGAAAGTCACTGGAAGCCTTAAGCCATTGCCACGCTGCTCCTGGTGGGCGGTGACACTTGTCATCCATCCTGGGTGCTCTCAAGTCAGAAATGAAATTGCTGGAACCGAGTGTCTGTGGTCTTCATGGGAAGCCACTTCAAAAGTCAATGGGGACAGTGATTTAATGATTTTCTTTGGGTTGGCTTTTTTAGGGAGGGACATTGCTTGGGCCCCCAGACTCTGTGGTTGATGTGGGGAGCACAGAAGTCACAGAAGAAATCTTTTTGGAGTACCTGTCCTCCCTGGGGGAGTCTCTGTTCCGGTGAGTGGAGACGGGGGGTCAGTTGTGTCTCCGGAGGCAGAAGCCATGCCACATCCTCGGGAGCCCTGCACAGGCCTGGCCAGTACCTGCTGACGGCCGGCCCTGCCGCGCGCTCGGCGCCTCCGCACGGCCGGCCTGTTGCACGTCAGAGGAAGGGAAGCGAGGCTGTTCCGCCTTCCGGTTGAACCAGCTGCTGCTGCTCAGCACCAGCTGCTCCCAGCCCAGTCTGGCCCAGTGTTTTGTCCTGAAAATCAAAATTAGGGCCGCTAGAGAGGTGGGGATGAAACAAGCTGCACAGGTGTTCTCTTCAAGAAGCTGTAGTTCGATGTCCGTGTTAACTGCTAGCGTGGTGCTCTGCTTGTGTGAATGCATTCTCCTGGAACTCTAAGGAGCCGTAGATTACTTCATCCTTCCCTGAAAAGTCTGTTTTAATGGTTCCTAGTGGCACAGCTGCACCAAACAGCCCCTCTCCAGGGAGAGGAGGGAAGCCCGTCCTCACGTGCAGCTGTGCACGCCCCATCCCCAGCTCCAAGCGTGCTCACCTGACTCTCGTCCGCTCTCCCACAGAGGGGAGGCCTACAACCTCTTTGAACACAACTGTAACACCTTCAGCAATGAAGTGGCACAGTTCCTGACCGGGCGCAAGATCCCTTCTTACATCACCGACCTTCCCTCTGAAGTTCTCTCCACGTAAGTGCCTGGCCCACCCTCAGAGTCCCCGTTCACCACCTGGGTGGACCCTGTCGGCTGCCCGCGTGTCACCTTCACCCTCCCGGACCAGCCACACCCAGTCTGAGGGCCGCCGCAAAATTTAGATGCTCACTTGGCGCAGACCCAGCGTTCCCCGGGGTCCTTGCCTGTGAACTGGCTTCTGGGAACGCCCCCTTGACCTGAAGCCTCGTGGGTGGGCAGAGAGCAGCCAGAGGACGAGGGAGTGGCTAGTTTTGTGTCTGTAGGTGTTTCTCACTGCCATGAGCTCTGTGATGCCTTCAGAGACAACATCTGCGTGCTCTCGTGCCCCGGAGTCCTCGGCCAGCTCTCCGTGGGTGTTTTCTTCGAGAATACTCTAGAGCCCATCCACACTGGTGTGGTTCAAGCCTTGCTGGACCGCCATCCAGGCCAGGTCCCTCATGGACACGCGCCCCCACAGCCATCTTGCCTGTCCCGCCCTTTGCTGTTGATTGCGCTCAGGCCGCCTCTGTCCCTCCACGACCACGTTTACTTGTTGATTCTGACTCAGTTTCTCCTGAGCAAGGGCCCTGCCCAACAGGAATCCCAGCAGGTTTAGCAGGCTCGACAGGGTGAACTGTCCTAGGAAAAGGTGTAGCGAACAGGACAGCATGTGGGGCGACCTGGCGGTGAAGACACCCCCTCCCAACCTCACCCCACCTCCCACTGCCTGCGGGTGTTTGTGTTCAACCCCACAGCCTTACTGAAGAATCTAGGTTACAGAGCTCAGAGCCAACTCAGTAGCTAGAATGTTCCTGCTGCTCCTCTCTCCACGGGTGGCATTCCTGGACTTGAATCGGGCTGATAGGTCTTGGTTTGATGTATTTGATTCCCTTTGAGATAAGATCCCCTTATCTGCCCGAGAAAAAGAAGGCGGGTGACTGAAATGTGACATGGGCCACCTGACTCAAGCCGGGAATCATCTTGGAATGTCTCTAAAGCAAAGCATCTTCAGTGTTTCTCCAGTTGCGCGATTAAAGAGCGGACGGGGCCGTCCAGAAGTGGCACCCTGCAGAAGGCGCAGCCGCCTGCCACCCTCTTTCCCACGCCCTTGCCCAGCTTCCTCACTTAGCCTGTGTTCTCGTCTGCTGCGGGGATTCAAGAGGGCAGCACAGAGCAGTGAGCCCTCGTTCCTGGTGCCGCCTGCCTGTTGCCACCCCTCACCGGGACGGCCGAGACGACTAGGGGTAGCGTCCCTGAGGAGGGCGCCCCAGGGGAGGGACAAAGGCGAGCAGGCGACGTAAAGGGCGAATCGGTGTGAGGCAGGTGGCAGGTGGCATGAGGTCTGGCGTGGCCTGACGCACTGCGCTGGGGGCCGGGCTGTGGTGTCCCCGGCCCCCGGCCCCCCTCAGCTCCCGCCTCTGTTTTCTCCACAGGCCCTTCGGCCAGGCCCTGCGGCCCATCCTAGACAACATCCCGATCCAGCCCCCCGGGGGGAGCACCGTGGGCCGACCCAGCGGCCAGAGCTAACAGGACTGCCTGGGACCGCCCTGCCTCCCCAGGGCCTTTCCTTTTTAAACAAAACAAACCCTACCAGATTTCTATTTTATAATTTTACATCAGAGCTAACAACCAGGGGACGGCTTTTTAACATTTCCCAGGGAAGGAGATCATCAGGCTGCATGTAGGTCGATGCTGCTAAGAAATGGAACAGAACGCCACCCCTTCTAATGGCATTACACTCATTTACCAAGGCTGTCTTGTCTGTGAGTTCACTTTTGACGCTGCTTCCTGAGCGTCCTCCAAACCGGAGAAGGGAGGGGCTTGCTTAAGCAGAAAAGCAAGAGGCACAACCTGGGGGAACCCAGCCTGCTCTTTCCAGACAACACCCACGCTCTGCCCAGGTTGCCACTCGCTGTGGGACCCCAGTGAGTTTCACGACCTCCATGGCCCGGAAGCAGTTACTCTCTAGGGTTAAATGAACCAAAGGATTTGGTGCACGTGGGACCAGTTTCAGGATGACTAACCCAACCTGAGCAAACTCTTTAGCTACAAACCTTTCTCCCCTCCCTGCCTCACTTTTGCAAAGCCATGGGGGCAGGGCTGGAGTGACCAGAAGCCTCAGCACCCAGGAGAGTGACAGCAAGTGTCAGGCCGGAGCCACCAGGATAAAGCCATTCCTCCCTCCGCCTAGACTGACCGCCAAGCCACTGACATCAGTGGAGAGCCTGCTTGGGGCCCACAGGCTGCCCTCAGCACAGCTCACCCGTCATGGTAATGAAGGCTCCACCTGGAGATCCGAGCCCCCGGCCTCCTGTCTGCAAACAGTATGGTAGGTTCTCTGCGCTCTGCAGTCACTAAGCCCACCCGCCCAGCGCAGTGTCCCTCTGGAGCCAAGGGGGACTGATTCCCCGCCTAAGAATAAGGATGCAGAATTCAAGGTGGCAAGAAAATGTAGAGTGGTTTCTGGTCGGGGTTTTCAGAGAAGTCCAGGGTTTCGCTGTCTTCCAGGCCCCATTTGCACCGTCACTCTGACTCCAGGGAGCACAGCTGGCATTTGCTGCATGAGCTGCTGCTCAGCTTATAGGAAGAGAACAATCTAGAAGTTCTTATCTGAAGAGATCTTCAGTTTCCCTTTCTTCACACAGCTTCCCAAGTCAGTTTCTTGGGGAAGCGATCGCGGAGGCACTCAGCATTGGGGCCGTGTCCCGGCCCGGCATCCGAGGCTCAGCCTCGGCATACGTTCCCTTCCCGGCCAGCCTGCAGGCACCTTTCCCCGTTTGCTGCTCATCTAGCTCGGCCGCTCCCTCGGCACCAGGCACTGCCAGGATCTGTGCTGGCGGGGAGGGTGTCGTTCTGCCTTACGCCAGGAGCAGGGGTGTGACGTCAGCCCCCATCCTGGGGCTTTTAAGACCAGAGACCAGACTGGGCAGTTTAATTCCATCGAGGCCCACGGATCCGCCAGTGCCATGTAACATGCCGGCCACAAAGCTGGCAGGGACTGTTCCTGTACCCCGACCTGGCAGAATGGGGCGAAACCCTGCTCTGGCCACCTCTCCCCTCGGCCACCGCTCCGGCTCCCGTAGGGTGTCTGCCCCGCCAGCTTGCCTGGCCCAGTGCGCGTTCCCTCGGGCTCCTGCTCCAGACCTCGCCCCAGCACTCGGCCATCCCCGGGGTGCTGGGCCTCCGACGCCCCTGCCCCTCCCCTATTCAGGTTTCTCCCCTTCCAGCAGTCACCTCCAGACCACGGCTGTCCTGCAAAGTAGCCAGCGTGGCTCCCCTAGAGAACGTGAGTCAGCTGGCTCACCGAAAGGCCATCCACCATTTGTGCCCAGGCCCATTGAGAGGAGCGGCAGGGGCAGTAAGCAGTCCGCGGGGCGCCCGGGCAAGGCCAGGACCCGCAGCCGTCCTCGGTTTCTCTGCCCCAGAAGCCTGAGCACACCCGTGGTGGCCAGCTGGGTGGGAGCTGAGCGCAGGGCAATGGGGCCGTGTGGACATCGCAGAGGTTTAAAGGGCGGGAAGGAGGGGCTGTAACTCGCTCCCCAGGAATAAAGCTTGTCCCTCTGACGTTCCTTTATGCCCTTGTAGTGTTCTGCTAGCTGTGTCTGATATGGAGGTGTTGGCTGGTTTTGTTTTTTTAATCTAATGCAATAAACTCATTTCTGCCTGCTGCTTTCGTGTGGGCTTTAAGGTCTGGGTGCGCGTCCCCCGTGAGGCAGCAGGCTGCAGCTGCGGCTCTGGCGTCTGAGTCTAGGCGTGGGCCATTGCTGGCGAGGGCCCTGGGGCCAAGAAACGAAGGCCAGAGAAAAGATCGTTAACCCAAGACCTTACGCTGCTGTTGGGGTAAGACTCAAAAGCCGGGTTCTGGCTCAGCTTGTGAGCACATGGGCCGTTGGGGGGTTATCAGCCTCGCCAGCAAGCTGAGCGTGCCTGGTCTGCCCACCTCACAACCCTGGCACACTGAGCACGTGGCTGGGTGGTGGGCAGTGCCCGGGAAGCCCAGGAGCTTGGCCAAAAGTGTCAGTACAGCCAGCCAGCAGTTGGGCGAGCGCCTTCCATGGCTTGGCCTGGGTGGGGTGTTTACACACAAAACATACTTGAGGGCCCTCCCTGGTGGCGCAGCGGGTTAAAGCACAGCACTGTGAAGCTGGCTGCAAGCCACAGCTGCCTCAGCACGAGTTCAGTGCCTGGCCAAGGACTGACCCACATGGCCCAGCTGACCTCTCCCATCTCACCCGCTGCTCCCCTCAGCAGTGTGCTTCATCCCCTGCACCTCTGGCTTGTACCCCAATTCTGTATGCATAAATAAATCTCTAAAAAACAGCAGACTTGAGATGGGGACACTGGCCCACTGGCCGGGTGAGGAGCCATGCAGAAAAAACAAGTGTGGCGCGGAGTTAGCTGAGCCCTGAAGTTCCATCATTCCAAGAAGCCAAAGTTAACATTCTGTGACTTGCAGGCGTTTTTGGAGGCGCATGCTAGGCATGTCTTGTGGCCCTGCTTCTGTTCTCGGTTGATAGTGAAGATTGATTTAGCCCCAGAAAGGTGGAAGCAGCATCGTGGAGGGGGTGCTGGTGTGGATACAGGAAGTCCCAGAGAGCATTGCAGGAAAGCTGAGAGCCCTTAAGTGCTCACCACAGGGGTGTGTGTGGTGTGAAGGTGGAGCTGGGATGGGGTAGAGCAGGGTGGGATGGCAGGGCAGGATGTCACCTGCCCAGGTGGGATGCAGGGTTTGCACCATGAAGCCTCACACTTGGGAGGCCTGAGTGCAGGTCTGGCCTCAGGGAAGGTCACTGCATGTGAGCCCTGACTGCCTCAGAGGGGCAGCGACCAGTCTTGTGCTCTGAGGTCCCCACAGAAAGTAGTGCTGGGACTGACGCTGGCCCACAAGGTTCGGTCCTCTGCAGAGATCCCTGTCCGCTCCTTCTCCAGCAGGAACCAGGCAGGGTCATGCTGCAGTGAGAGACGTGGACACCAGGTGGCGCCGAGGACTCGCACCCAGCCAGCACCAATCCACTTGTCTCCAGCACCCCAAGTTACATGGGCATGCCTGCTCCCCTACACCTCAGACCCCTGGGCCTCCATAGGAGTGCACATGACAGCAACCAAGACCCTCATCAAGCTCGTCCCCAGATTTCTCCAACCCCCATATCCTGATGCAAGTGTAGATCTCCACTGCACACAGCTACCTCCAGCCTGGGTTCATCCGGTGCTGAACCCGGACCCCCCTCCTTGTCTCTCATTTCTCTTGAGCCCCTGCTCAGGCTCTGTGTCCAGCATCCTGCTTGAGCCTCTCCCTGGCACTCTCGAAGGGCAGGCCTGTCTGAGGGCCCAGCACCCGCCCAGGGACCCAAGGGGCCCAGTCCCTGGCTCAGTTCCAGTAGGGCGGACACTGAGGGGAAGGTGACTCACTTAACCCCTGAGCCTGGGCCCTGCCTGGTGGCACAACAGGTTAAAATGCAGCACTACAAGCCAGCTGCAGCTTCAATCCCCAGTGCAATTTCAATCCCCAAACTTCAGTGCAATTCCAATCCCCAGCCCTGGAACTGACCCACATGGCGCGGCAGACCTCTCCTGATCTGCCCGCTGCTCCCCTCAGCAGGTACTTCGTCAGTCAGCCTATTCTGCTCCCCTCTCTGTCTCTGGTGAAGCCTCTCACCACCCCTGCACCCCTGGCCTGCACCCCAGTTCTGTATGCATAAATAATCTTTCCAAAAATTAATTAATTAAAAAATAAATAACCCCTGGACCTGGACGCGGCCAACCTGGATGCAGCCTCTGCCCCAGAGACCTGGGGAGGCGTCTCCTCGCTGGGCCTCAGCTTCTTTATAATGAGGTTTATGGATCAGAAAATCCCTGTCCCACCCGGAGAAGGCGACTTGTCCAAGTTCTAAGTTCTAAGAACTGAGCCCCAAACAGCAGAGATCACTAATCTATCTCAGGGGACGCCTCCCTGCACCCCTCCTCCTGTGGGGACAGTGCTGGGGCCTGGTCATTGCTGTCCCCACCAGCTTGGCTGAGGGAGCCCTCCAGGGACCGAGCCAACCCAGCAACAGTCTCCACCGCTCACAAACACCAGCCCTAAGCATGGGCCCTTCAGCTTATTTCAATCCAGCGACCTGTCCCTTGTAAACTGTGTGCATCGCAGGCGCCTTGACACATCCAGTGTCCCTGCCTTCTGCCGCCAGGCCCAAGATGGCATCAGAACCAGCCTGTCCCGCGAGCGGAGGCTCCTCAGGCGCCGCCCCCCCGCCCCTCTTCCCCACAGCTCTGTGGGGCTGGCAGAGGTGGCACATTTACAGATGAGGAACCGGCTCAAGCTCGGGAGGGACCTGCCCAGGTCTGCAGGCTGGGGAGGGACAGCCCAGACCGGCCAGTCTGACACTACACTGGCCACGCCACAGCTGCTCTGTGGAGGCACTGCCCCTCAGGTCACACCCTGGCAGGGAAAAAGAGGGTCCGCAGCCCTAATTCACTCGCAACTTGTTGATGCTTGGCCAGCAAGCACCTGCAAGGGGCAGGGAAAAGTAGCAGCTTCCCATGAAGCCTGGCTGTACCGTGTGACCCTGGCAAAGCCTCCTGTCCTCTCTGGTGTCAGCAGCGAGCTCTGGAAATGGAGGCCAAGGGTACTCACCTCAGCAAGCGCTCAGGAAATGCAAGCAAAGTGTCCGGGCAGTAGCTGAACTTTCCTGACCAATGTGGACGACACTCGCCTCCAGCTCAGCCAGCTGGTCCGAAGAGCCCCGTGTTCCTTCCACAGCAGGAGCCCCCAGGCCGGGTGCTCAGGGATGCTGCCTTCAGGCCTGGCTCCCTTCGGTGCTTGGAAACAGCTCTGGCCAGTCCTCCCAGCCCCAGCTCCCCAGTCCTGTCCTTGCCCTCCCCAGGGGCTCCCTAGGGCCCCATCTGAGCGTTGCCAGGGATGAGCTTCCCTCTTAAAGGGACACACTGGCGGCCACACGCTGAGGTCCGCGCCTTGGCAACCTATACCCCTGGGGCTTGGTGAGCGGCCTCATCAGTGAAATGGGTGGTGGTGAGAATTCAGCGACTTGAACAGTTCCCTACGGGCCTAGGCACTAGTGTGCCACGCTCGGGAGCTCATCTCTGTTGTCTTTGGAAAAGTGGACCCAGTGCGGAGAAAAAGCCTGTTCTGCCCTCGGAGCCCAGTGCTTCAGCTTCCCTAGCTTGTAGCAGGGCAGGCGGGAGCTGCATTTAATCACTTCCCAGGACTTCTCAAGGGGAGGTCTTCTCAGCTGGGAGAAGTTAGAGGCAAGCACCATGAGCTAGACCAGCTGAGCCCTGCAGGGAGCTGCCCCACCCCTCAGACCTGGGGGGCAGGAGGCTTCCCTTCCAGAGGACTCTGCCTGCAAACAAAAGCTTCCTGAGGGCAGGGCCCTGGCCGGCCGCTGTTCCTCCTGGAGCCAGCAAGGTGACTGGCTGTTTAATGAAGGAAGCAGCTGTTTAATGAAGGAACCAAACTCCCGCCACAGGCCTGGAAGGAGGATTTTCCCTTTTGCTTCAGGCCCTGATATGGCTCCTCAGCAGGATGCAGTCATTGCACCTGTTTTGTTTTGTTTTGTTTGCATTTATTTTGATTTAAAAAATGTATTCCACTAAAATAATATCTTGATTGCTGAAATTTTTGGTGCCCTTAAATGTTGGGTCTGTGGCTCCTCATCCAACTCACGCTGGTCCCAGCCCTGCAGCCTGCCGCCAGCTCCCTTGAGCACATCTCTCTTCACCAAGCAGACACGATAACACTTCCGAGAGTGCGAGAGGGGAAGATTTGTGGCCACGTGTCCAATATGGTGGCCGGCACACAGGAAGGAGTCAAGTGCCAGTTACAACATCTCGCTTTTCACAGTGCTGGCAGGTGGGAATTACGATCCCATCACACAGGTGAAGACACTGAGGCCCAGGAGGGAAGGCGGCCTGGCCAAGTCCTTGAGGTCACCGGGTCCACGTGCAGTTAGACCCTGACCTGGTGACCTCCCCAGGCACTGCAGCCTCTAAGACAGAAAGACAAAGAAGCCTATAGCGCAGGGCCCTCCCTGGGGGCTCAGCGGGCTAAAGCACAGCACTAAGAAGCTAAAGCCACTTCTGCATGAGTTTGATCCCCGCCTGCTGGGGGGGTGGGGGTGGGAGGGGGTGTCCGGAGATCCACAGGGCTTGGCAGACCTCTCCTGAGCCGCCTGCTGCTCCCCTCAGCAATGAACTTTCTCGATTTGCCTGTTCTGCTCCCAGCTCTGTGTCTGGTGAATCCTCTCACCCTCTGCATCACTGGCCTATACCCCAGTTCTGTATGAACTGCCACAGCTGACCTCGGGCAGCAGGGTGCTGACCATGGGTGCTGCAAAAAAAGGCCTCCAGGGCAACCCGGTGGAGGGCCGCAAGGAAAGGGAGACTCCTGGAGAAGAGGAAGGTCAGCCCATTCCCAAGAGGGAACAGATTCACCACCCGCTGGTACCCAGACAGCCTGCTAGGTTTCGGTTCCATCAGGAAAAGGCAGCCTCACTTTTCCATGCTACCTGGCTAGGACAGACTTTCATGGCTCACACACTCCACCTTAGGAGGGACCACAGCTAATCCAAACAAGCCCCACCCCCCTTCCTATCTTCTACAGGGTCTGCACATTTGCAAGTCTCTGACACCATGCCTGCTCAGTGCGCTCTCCTTTGGGGGAGACATTAACCATTTCTTGCCCTGAGCAGAGCCACCTGCCAAGTAGGCCTTTCCTACAGATGGAGGCACAAAGCCTCTCGGAGGCTGTCAAAGTGGCAGAGATGGGAGGTCAACTAGAGCTGGCCGCACAGTCGACCAGTGAGGTCGATGGTTACAGTGAGGACAGCAGAAGGATTCTTGCAGGAGGTGGACCTTGAGCTGGGCCTTGTGGGTGGACAGGAAAACAATGGCAGGATTGAGCGTCGGGGAATGTCGGTCACCTGGCAAAGTACAGAGGCTGAGCAAAGGCCATCAGATTTCTCAAACCTCAAGATTTGTAGGGCAAAGGCATTAGCAGGGAGGGGGCCAGGCGGAGAGACCAGAGCGGCCGGAAGAGCCAGGGATTCCCTGAGCCCCGCCCCCGCCCGGCTGACTCCGCACTGCGGGCAGGAGGCCCCGCCCCCGCCCGGCGCCGTCCCGGACCTCGCCACCGGGGCCGGGGTGGTCTGCGCCTCCCGTCCTCAGGTCAGCCCTGGCCCTGGGCTGTGCGGTGCGGGGTCACTGCCCGGCGTCCGTCACGCCGGGGCCGTCGCACCTGAGCGTGGCTGCTGCTGGGCGACAGCGTGGGCATCCTGGCGGCCAGGCTGAGTGGAGTCCTCCAGGGAGAGGCCA